GAGAGGAGACCAAGTCCGCTGAAATTGATCATGTGTAACATCCTGGCATGTGACAAGGCAGCCAAGCCTGGCTGGCATGGGCACCACTGAGACTGGCAAACAACAGGCCATGAGAAGATAAAGGATCCAAAAACACAAGGCCTAGGATGACTACAACTGCTTTGGCTCAGAGCAGAAAATGTGCCTCGTTTTTTACAATGAGCTGGACTGAATCTTCAGAACTGAGACCAATCTGCTGGTAGATACTGCACAGAAGCATCTTGAGGCTTAATTGTGAGGGACGCAGAGGAGGAAAAACAGTTGTTCCGTGGACCAGGAAATGCCTGATGCATTGCTGGGATCTCAGAATCAATTTAGTGGATCCGGGATCCCGACCCAGAAGCACAGATGAATGCTGATATCTGAGCCAGCCTGGAAGAAGGAGGAATCTGGAATCAGGAGCCCCTACTGCAGATATGTAGCTTTTCTTTGTAAGTTGTACTTGTGAGAGCTGATTTTGCAGGGCCAATAGGAAGAGTTTTCCAAGTTCTTACGAGTACTGCTTTTAGTATTTGCAAAGGTGCAAGTGTCCATTTGTCCCACTGCTTTGTCATTCTCTGCTCTCCAATGCCTCCCTCTTTCCTCATGCTTCTGCAGCAAGAGGGGCAGCTTTTAAGCCTGACTCCCAGATCTCTGTATATCTCCTTCCATTCAGGATCCATGAGCCTGCTCCTGGTCAGGGCAAAAGTTGCACAGTTTGGCAGATACAGCAGCTATCTGAGCCATGCCATGTGGCTGGACTCAAGCAGCAGGCAAGCAGGGGAAGAAATTTCAAAAATAACACAGAAACCACAATGTAAAAGCCTAAAAATAGAATTTTACTGTGAGAATTACATATTAGGCTCTCTGGCAGGGCCGGCTCCAGCGTTTTTACCGCCCCAAGCGGCCAAAAAAACAAAACAAAAAAGCCGCGATGGGCTGTACTTCGGCGGCAATTTGGTGGCAGGTCCTTCCCTCCGAGAAGGACTGAGGGACCCGCTGCTGAAGAGCTGTATGTGACGCCCCTTTCTGTTAGCCACCCCAGGCACCTGCTTGCTGAGCTGGTGCCTGGAGCTGGCCCTGCTCTAGATTACATTATACATTACATTATATCGGCCCATAGGCTGGACTACAGTATCTGAGTGTGCTGCTCTCAGCAATATCAGGTGCATAATAACAGTTCAGTCGCTCCAAACTGTGGCCTTGATTCAAAAGCAGCATTCAACCCTCTAAAGACCATCCCCAAGAATGTACTTGGACTCACAGCCATTGCATCATGAACTCCATGTACTGCTGCTCTCACTCTGTTTCTCTGAAGGTAGAGGTAGGACATATGTAGTCACTTCTGGACTGTTTTAAAAACTCCAGCAGAAACCTTTTTTAACTGAGCAAGACCTGAGGTTGAGAGCTGAATGTTCACCCTTCATTTTAAGACAGTCTAGGAAATGGAGGTACCAGGACTTCTGGGATTTTCACTGGGGTATTATGGGAGATTGCTATATTCTCAGAAAATGTCTAGTTTCCCAGGTCTTTGAAATCTCCCAAAACCCACTGTTTTAGGGAGCTGGATCAGGAAATGAGATTGCAACTGCACAGACATGGGACAAAAACTGAAACTGAAAAAACAGCCTGGCCAGTGTGAGCATACTGCCCTGTTGATAACTTACATCGATGGCATCCCACCAGTTCAATTAGTGATTCATTTTGTTTAGACAAGATAGGAGAGGTTCATTAGTTTAATAACTTGGGTGTGAACTGTGAATCCAATTCATATTCTTAATAGTCTCATATTCTTCTTCCAATAAAGAGAGAGAAAGGTGTGAACTCAATTTTGTCTCTCAACTTCAGTGCTCTTCATGTTCCCTGATTAATTCTCAAGTTGATTTTTTTTCTGGATACACAAATTTTACACTTTTTTTTTTATGAAGGAGGAGTTATTACAAATTGTTTGATAGGATACAATATATAGGAAAAGGAGGGTACCTTCCAGCATTATGTTCGTAATACACTAATTTCAGCCCAGTGATTTCTAATAGTTGTCCTTAATTAAAAAAAACCCAACAACCTGAAGGTGCTGCTGCTTCCATATAAAATGTTTATACAGTAAATGAAAGACCAGAAATAATTCTCAAATAATGCCTAGTAGGATACAACAATGGTAGAGTAATAGACTATATACAGTTTAAGTAAACTAGTCAGTTAAGTTTGTCAGTTATGACAGGTTAAAATAAGACGCATGGCAAAATTCAAACTAGTGTAACTCCATTGACTTTCAGGGGTCTGCAGCAAGGATAAATTTAGCTGTGTTACATTAGAAAACAGTACATTTAAAATAAAATTCCCTGTTAAAAAATGAATAAAGAAGTAACACATGAAACTTGTCAAAATATTTCAGACTGACTTCAAAAAACTCTCTCAAGAATTAGCAGCAGTAAGTTGGTTAAGAAGAGAGCGAATCAAAACAAGAACAGGCCATGAAATGAAACCAGAAAAAATGATAGAGAAACAAACCTCTTGGAGTGCTAAGGTTCTTCTGCATTTTAGCTTTTTATATATGGGATGGACTGTGCGTTCTAGTCACATGTTTAAATGTAGGTGTAACCTTTGCTTCCTATAGCAAATCTTCTCTTGCTGTGAGTGATGTAATATGAGCCTCTTAGTGTTATTTTGCTGCGGTTGCATAGTTTCCATCATACCTTTCCAAGAGTACACCTTTAATATATGGCAATTAATTCACCCAGTTTTCTCCATTATATTTTCTAATCTCTGCCTGTTGGTGGTTATTCTATTCATTAGCTGTTATATAGCACGTTTTATCTATAGTGTGCATAGAAGGGAAGTATTGTCATTCCTGTGTTATAGATAGTGAAGTGCTGAAAGGTGAAATAACTTGTTCAAGATCACCAGGTCAATGGCAGAGCTGAGCCTAGAACTCAAGTCCTACTGTTGTCTAGCCCAAGGCCCTGTCCAGTGGGCCACGCTGCCTCTGAAAAGGTTCTCCCCCTGACCCACTCAATGAGTGAATAGAATACTGTTGTGCTAATTTTATATAAATATAACATACAGTATTTCATCCTGCCTGATTTGCACACATTGATTTCAAATGCAAAACTCCCACTGCTTTCCACGCAGCAGGCTCCAAGAGATCCACTTTCCATGCCTGATAGCTATCTATAGTCCTGATTTGCACTCAAATCTTTGTTAGAAAGAGTCAAAACCATCACGTCATGTAAGATCTGAGGTTCTACCACTTGCCTGGTCTCTCTCATGCTGTCACCACAGGCTTTCAGTTAGTAGCCTGATTAACATAGTAAGCACTACACTAAAATAATTCTGCTCTACCTAGCTTATTTTATTACAATAAAAAGTTGTTTATAAACTACATGGAAGTATTACACAGAGAAACTATTTTAGACTTTAGGTCTCAAATGGGATTGTGAGAATTGACAGACGTTATGAGGTATTTTGCCCTGTTGTACGGTATTGCTTTAAAGTGACATGTAGGTTCATATTAGAGATAGAAAAGAGTGATTAGATCATTGTCTACTCCAATCACAAAAACTAGTCTTGCAGTAGAAGACATATTGGATATTAAAGTGATATGATGGTGTAACCCACTGATCACTGTGTGGTGTCTCTCCCTATATGCTCGTTCCACAGAGGACATGGGTTTGCTATAGAGCCTGCCTCTTTAACTCTAGTTGTAGGGATGAATGTAATCAGCACTTGAGGTCACTAGTTCAATCCTAAGTGTCAGCTGTGATAGAGGTTATCTCCAGGAAACAAGATGGATTCACCAAACCAGCAAGAAAATGCCCAGGCCTGAAGAAGAGCATTGTGTAGCTCGAAAACTTGTCTCATTCACCACCAGAAATTGGTCCAATAAAAGATATTCCCTCACCCACCTTATCTCTCAGGCCTAATTAGGTAACTTATCCTGCCTGTTCCTGAAAAAAGAGCAGGATATGTAAAACTTAGTGTACATCTACTTTGTAACCATGAGGTGTGATTGCAGCTTGAGGAGACATACCTGAGCTAACTTTAATCTAGCTAGGGTCCACAAGTAGTGAAGCTGCAGCAGTGCGCACCAGCTCCATGAGCAATTAGGGTTCTGGGCGAGCTGGCACAGCCCACACTAAACCACACCCTGCCACGGCTTCATTGCTCCAGTACCCCAACTAACTAGATTTAAGCTAGCTCACGTGTGTCTATTTGAGCTGTAACCACACCCCATGATTGCAGTACTGATGTACCCTGTGTGGTTTTGGTTTACACGAAGGATAAACATCAGCAGCACCGCTATGTTGGGAAGCTGACAATATAAGAGTGATGCACATATCACTACAAATACTACAAGAAAAATCAGCTGCTTCAGTACTCAAGTTGGGGAGAAGAACAGTTACATGATGCTGAGCTCTGATTTTAAGATCATCCTTGTTCTAATGTGCGTCATCCCCAGCTGTCTCCCTCTCTTTCCTTCCCATTAACCCCCACCCTTGGAAGCAAGGTTTATGGCATGCTAACACTGGCTGTGTATTAACCAGAATAGTGACAATGTGTAACTCATGCTTGGTTATTGAACCAGAGGAATTCTGGGAGATACACTTATCACTACAGTAATGCAACTTCACTTTTCTGTTCTAAATTTGTTTGAGATTTTATTACAGACTCCACCAAGATAAAGGATATAAGGAGTGGTGGTGTGAAGTGAAATGACAAAATTGTGTTGGGAAACTGTCATAGAGGTAGCTTGATTTGTATGCTGAGGTAGCTTAATGTGATTTAAATCAACTCCCTTTGTTAAGAGTCTATCTGGGGCAGAGTAGCTTTTCAAAAGTGCATTGGTGATTTAGGAGCTTAAGTCCTCTTGACCAAACGCATAAATGTATACATGACTTCTGCAACTTTGTGTTAAGGTAAGCAATTTTGCTGTGCTGGTATAGGATAATCTACACTAATCCATACTTCTGTTTTGCATTTAGGCATAAATGAAACCCTCACAATGGAGCTGTGTCAGATAATCTAGAAAAAGAATAATCCTGTTTACAGAAAAAATACACAGGTATGGGGCTATATACTGTACAGAATACTGCTTCACACTTATATAGTACTTTACATATTCAAAGCTATCTAGAGATTAATGTTCACACAAACCTGTGAAGTAGGTAAGTGTCACTATCCTCATTTTACAGATTGGGAAATGGAGCCAGATAGGTGGAGTGACACCGCTGGGATAAGAATTTGGGAGTTCTTGGTTTCCAGACTGGTCTCCCAAGCTCAGATATTTCAAACACACCCCCAGCATAATAACATCACTTCACATATCAACATTTTCCTTCCACTGACGTGACGGCTCACTCCTAAAGCAGCTCAGTCACTGAAATCTTTGCATAAAAGAGATGGTCTGTTGAGGCAAATAGGCAGTGTGGAGGAAGCTATTGTGGGCGTTGTTCTTGTCCTATGGATGAACACACCTCAATCTCCAGGGCTCTCAGTGGAGGCCTTCTTAACAACACTAAATTTACAGAAAAGAAAATCTCCCCCTGCCCCAAACTCCTACTTTAAAATAAATGACACAAATCTTTAGTATTTGTAGTGTTCTGAGATTCTAAAGATAAAAGTTCTTACTGGATACATGGCGTGGGGTGCCCTTAATGATTCAATACAAAACAGGGCCTGTGTTCAGGCTTCCCCTACATTTAAGCTTTCAGGAATGTTAGAAGCTAATTTTGAATTTATTGACAGGTAATTGGTTATTTTAATCCTTTTTCATTAGAATGTTTTAATCACCATTACCTCATGCTATCTAGAAGCTCTAGTAACACAGGTGATTCATGCTACTTTTTATTTGAATCTGAAGCACTCTTCATTAACTACAGAAGACTAGCACCCCTCTAGAAGGCACAATGCTGTATTTCAGAATAGCTTGAAAGCAGGTATGGGTACAGGTTCTCTTGATGGATCGTAAATCTGAACATTTCCATACAGAGCATGGTCATGATTCTAGCTCATGTGTTGCATTTTCTTTTAACCATGACCTTTAAGTGAAGGAAAATTATTAAATATTTAGTTACACCTCTTTGCAGAAGTTCAAACCAAGCTGATAAAATGCTCATTAATATTATATGTTTAGACAATGCCTATAAACATCCATATTGTTAAAGAGATACAATAGTGGATGAAGCAAAGTGAATACAATATGCAAGATTAGAAAGGACAACACAGTAAATGAATTAATCTAAATCTACACCCACACCACACATTTTTAAAGCTTTATCCATAATGTCCTAGAATAATTTAAAAATGCACAACAGGCATACACTATCATTCTAGAATTTTTCAGAGAAGGGCTTTTTTTAGTAGTTCATTAATAAATCAATCTCTTTTTAAACAATGGGACTTGAGGGCAGAGAGCACCTAGTGGGATTTAGACTTTACATTTCTATGTTTTCTTTTGATCCAGAAGAACATAATCAGCAACAGCAGCAAACTAAAAACACAAGATCTTTGTGAAGTGGTTTACGGGAGATGGATGGACCCTGAAGGTGTGTGGTGGTGGTTTGTTTTGTTTTTTTGGTTTTAAGAAAAGTTTGTAGTGTGGTATCTTTTGCAATTTGCATGAGTTCACCATACCTTGTCAGTTGATGGCACTATGACACCTGAAGACATTTAGAAAGGAAATATATATAGACAACTTACAAAAACAAAAAAGAGCATATTTCTGTTTTGGTTTATACATATGAATGTAACTTAATGGCCAGATATAACCTGTTAAATACTACTGTGCTGAAACCATAAATATAAAATTACTTAACATTTTCATACCTGCTATATATTTATCCAACTTTAGTGGGGGGTTAGACATTGTATGTAGCTGTGAAAGACACACCGTGGGACCTTGTCTGATCTTGCAGTCCTTCTGGATGCAGACCAGTCATTGACTGCAACAAAAGCTACCATGCATATGTTGAGGACTGTAACATCAAGCTTATGTTGCTAGTGTAGTTTAGCTGCCAAGGAACATTTATGTTACAGATTGTTACACTGAATAAGTATCAGAGGGGTAGCATGTTAGTCTGTATGCCACCGGACTCCTTGTTGTTTTTACAATTAATCACTTTCCTGGATGAAACAAAGGCCATCATCAACCAAAAGTGAACAGAGCTTGCTTGGATGGGGAACATAATCTTTACTGAGGCTATGTCTACACTACGGACTGTACAGTAGCACAGCTGCACTGCTGTAAGGTCTCCTGTGTAGTCACTCTATGCCGGAGGGGGAGAGCTCTCCAGCCGGCATAATTAAAACACCTCCAACAAGCAATGGTAGATAAGTCGGCGGGACAGCATCTCCCACTGACACAGTGCTGTCCACACCAGCATTTTTGGCAGTGAAACTTTTGTTAGTTGGGGTGTAGTTTTGCCGACAAAAGTGCTAGTGTAGACATAGCCTGAGAGTTAGATTGTGCAAGGGGCTGAGTGTGCTGGAGTCAATGGGATTACTTGCGCTTAAAGCTAAGTATAGGCTTAAGAGCTTTCTTGGATTAGGCCCAGAATGCCTAGCATCTTGCAGGATCAAGGTCTAAATTAAAATCAATGTATTGTCTTAACCACGTATTGCCTCTTGAGAAAAAGCCGTTTATACAAGACATCTATTCTTAGGCTACAACGGTGGTAGTTATTTCCAGCCCTGGAGAAAAACACCGTATCTCCACACACAGCAGAAGTACACTTCAAAAAAACAAATTCTAGTTCAACTTAGTCACCACAGCCATGTTTTGTTTTCAAAAAAGTGAGAGGAGATAAAATAAGTGAAGGAAGTCACAACTTAAATTAAAAATTCTTAAAGCTCAGTGATTAAGTGCTTGCCATAAAAACCTACTGGACCCTCCTAGATTCTACATATGAACAATGTTCAAGTCATTTGTATAAAATTACTGCAAGTCATGGCTCATTTAAACAGTTTTGTTTCCCACCCTCACCCCCATAGCAGCCATCATGTTTTGTGCCTGTTATAGATACATTTGTATTTCTACTGGAGAACACTAGTTCAACTATTTGGTTTAAGTGTAAAAACATGGAGGGTATTGAGGGGAAAATATGGCATTGTTGCAAGTGTCATATGCTACGAAACTAGTAAATATTATATAAAATACATCTATTAATTCTGTTACTTCCTGGAACATTCTACAATGTTTATAATGTCCTTTTTAAAAGTTCTTAAAATGGCTTAGGGCTTTTCTCCTTCACAAATCTGGGTATGAAAAGGAGCCTTAAAAAAGGTGATAGTTATCTGAATGCATGGTGAAAATGAGGCAATGTTGCAGAATTTGTACTGGATGGAAAAGAATGTGGGACATGATGAAGCTGGTTTAAGGCCACTCCACCCAGAGCTAGCTGTGCACCTTGCTGTTGGCTGATGCAGCTCAGCCTGTGTGGTGCTTCCTCCTGACCAAATGCCATTGTTATGTCCCCATTGTTATTCTGGTTATCACTCTGAGGGAACTGCCAGAAACCCAGTATATGAGTAAGATCCATGGAGGGCATGCTAATAGATTCAACTGTTGTCACAGTCTCCTTGTGCAATATGTACTTGCCAGCATCGCCTGCAGCCCCCGAGGAAGCTTCTTCCTGATTGACTTTGTGAGGTTCTGGTAAAGGCAGGTCCTCAAGCAAATTCACATTATGAGCTTTAACATCCACTTCGATGGGTAGGCTTTTGAGGGATGGTGCAAATGAGGTAGTACTCAGTTCATATTTGTTGTGCCGATGAGGATTCTGGTTGGTAGGAATTGATGGTGGAGATGGTTTAGAATGAGTGGCTGAGACACTATCTACACAGCTCATCCTTACCAAATGAGGAGGCTCAAAGGGATGAGTAGACTGTAGGCTTTGTTGACAGTGAATATGTGGGCTGCTATACTCTTCTGCTTCTAACGTGTTCGGAAGCCCATGCTGCATAGAAGCCCTCTCAGGAAAAGAGGACAGGATACTGGCATCTTCCTTCAGTCTGAATGGAGAGAAAGGGGCAAAGAGACCCTGCAAGTCACCATTCTGCAACCTGCCCTTCAGCAGCTCTTGTGGATGTGTTTTCTTCATGTGGCGAGTCAAGTGGTCCTTGCGCCCAAATCTCTGGGCACAGAACTGGCACAAGAAGTCCTTGCAGCCTGTGTGAACCACCATGTGACGCCGCACATCTTTGCGGGTATAGAAATAGTGTTCACAATGGTCACACTTATGTTTCTTTTCCTTGGTGCTGCTGCCTGGCTTCCCTGCATGAGTTTTGAGGTGTTCTAACAACACTTCAGTGCCTCCAAACTCTTGGGAACACACCCTGCAGGTAAGGTCCCCACTGGTGGCTGCATGAAGAGCCAGGTGTCGTTTGTAACCCAGCTTGGTGTTGTACTTCTTGTCACACTCTTCACACTTGAAGGCCATTTTGTTGGGGTCATGAGTCTGAAGGTGATTTTTCAGATGGTCTTTTCTGTGGAAGGTCTTTTCACAGTAACCACATTGGTGAGATTTTTGTGGAGAGTGGGTGGCCGAGTGCCTAAGACAGAAGAATAACATGTTTACAGAACTCATGCACATAAGTGGGATACAGCTTCACAATATGAAGGCACTTGCGCTCTCTAGGGTAACAGTTTTCAAAAAGCCAGACTCTGTTAAATAGCAAACTGGTGGGTTTTTTATAGTCTGCAGAGCTAGATGAACATTACTGCAAGAAACACCTTTTGAATGGCAATTATAATTGTACTTGAGAGGCAGAGGCTAGCTAGTGCCTAAAACAGAGGACTGGGAGTTGGAATACCTATTGTCCTGCCACTGACTCGTTGGAATACAATGGAAAACTCATTTATCCTCCCTGTTCTCTCATCTGTAAAAGGGGTAGAACACTTACTCTCAGAAGTGAGGTATGATGTAATCAATTTAATGTTTGTGAAGTGCTCAAGTTCCTTAGAAGAAAGGAGCCATATATAAGCCCACCTGACTTGGGGCTCAGGTGTATGCACATGCTATCAGAATGGATACTTAGATTCACTGCCATCTGTTGCTTATGTTTTATTCACGCACCTTGAACAGCATTTATTTAAATCTTAACATTCTGTATAGAAATATGACCAATGGAGTTTAGCGAGTAGTTGTCACTAGTGCATGCCAAGAAAATACATCTTTTCCTCCCCACACCCACACTGGGAAGGGCTGCTATCCCTTCAGGAGATGTACCTTATCAGTTTGTATTTGGAAATGAAAGCTTTCGTGCATCCCTGTTGGGAACACCTGTAGGGACGCTCTCCTGTGTGGGCATAAGTGTGGGCTGTGAGCTTTTCAACAGAAACAAATATCTTCCCGCAGAGGCGGCAGCGATAACTGTCTGGCTGCTTTGCTTCTCTTTCTTTTAGTAGTGAAGACTGACCATTTCTCCATGTAGGCACAAATCTCACAATGGAACCGCAAACACTTCCTGAGCTGGCACAGGTAGACTTTGCACTAGGGGAACAGGAAATGGCCCCATAGCACTGGACAATGCTTGTGCCCATGCCAGTTTCACTCAGTTTGCCTTTGGTTTTGCCCTTTGTTTTTAGAGGTTCTAATTTATTTGCTGGTCTGAAGCTGGTGAGAAGTGCTTTGTCTTTACTGATGCATTGGTGAGATTCCAGCAGAGCTAAAGTCCCAAAAACGTTACTACAATTGGAGCATATCCAGGCGTCGGCACACTCTCTCTGCAATGAGAACAGAAACAGTTCCCTCAGATTAACCATTTCAAAGAGAGAGAGGTCACATTCTTCTCACCAGCCCTATGTTGTCTTTGGTCTTCCCTAGGCCTCTCACTTCCCTTGGTGACAGGCGCAGGCACAGCACGTAACTGTGCCACCCAGACTGCTCTTCAGTTGGAGACATTAATCTTAGCTGTGTACAAACATGAAAACAAATGATTGGGTAAATGATTATTTCCATGTTGTTGTCTGGTGTTTATTGCTATTCTAGCTCTTGTTGAGCTTTTGGTGATTTTTTTTTTTTTTCCCCTCTGCATAGTAAATTTCAGTGTCTCTGTGCTTGTTCTTATTATGGAAGCGATAGTCACAGTTCCATAGTTAAGACTGAGTCAAGTTTTCCACTTACTTTTAGACTGAGCGCAAACTGTGATACCGCAGCTGTACAGAAGCCATGGGCCTGTGGGATTATTCTGCCAACAATGCAGGGTGTCTGTCTGTCTCTCTCTCTCTCGCTCTCTCTCTCCATAGAGACATGGAGAAAGAAGAAAATAATGAGATGTAATAGCTTTTGCGCTTTAACACTGGGGGGGGAGAAGGAAGGGGCGGGCGCTGTAACATGCAGCACATGTATGCCAAAGAATTAGGACATAACAAGCTAGAGCAGTGAACGGGTGAAAGGAGAATTTTAAGGATTGGTGTACTCAGTTTCCCAAGAATATATGCCAGCATGTTAGTCTTTCCAGAGTTTACCATTACATGCCAACACTGTATCGTGCCCTGTTTAGAGTACAAGTACAGTACACAAAGTAAAAGAGCTCCAGGTAATACTTTTCTTTTGCTATTTGACTGAAACTGTTAATTCAGTGTTAGACTAGTTGACAATCATTTTCTGTCATGTGAACTGAGGCAAGGCCAGGTGTTGGCTTGGATGCAGTCCTTGGACACTTACTGTTGTTAAAACTGGTGATAAAGCACAGATATCAGATTCTTCTTTGATGACAACTGCAGAAGCTTCCATAAACTTGGCGTAATCTGCAGCATACCACACTTTTAATTCTGTGTGGGGTTCAATTGGCTGTGAATGGAAAAAAATCCCCAGTATTTACTTGTACTGCCTTTGTTTCTATAGGAAACTTTTACATCTTATTTAAAACAGGTGGTAGTCTAGTTGTTACCTTTACAGCAACTGTTTTCTTCATATCTGTTTAAACCATTGATAGCTTACGTGATGCTGTATGGAATATTGATACCAATATTATAAAATTGCAGTGAATCTTACAAGATGTGCCATGTAAGGTATCAGTGGAAAAGTTCTGATTTGCTAAGTATGATGGCCTTGTTCATATGTATGTATCATCTTTGAATCGTGAGTTATAAATATGTATGATATATCTGCATCTCCAACCTGTGCTGTTTCTGGATGCCATTGCTGAGGCCAATTTGTCTGCGACTATCTAGCCTGTTGGATGGCCAATCAAGGCCAATCAGCTCTACAATGAACCCATTGAGTGAAGGCAGGAGCTATGCCTATGAGTCAGCAAGACACGTGGGGACATGCCTGTGAACAGGGGATTACAAGAGCTCTTTCTTGCCCGTGAGCTTGGGTTTGGGACAGAAGATGTACAGGCCACACGGCAAAGGATACTGAAAAGCAGCTGCATCTTCTCCATTTTGTCTTCAATCCTGCTTCTCACCTCTGGAGTAACTTCTCTACGAATTGAAGCTTTGAACAAAGGACTGATAGACCCATCCAAGCTGTGGATGTGTTCCAGAGGGACTCCACAAGCCAGCAAACTCACCAGTGCTGCTAAGAACCTGATATATGGACTCTGAAATCTTATGTATGTATATAATTGCTTTCACCATTTAATGACTCTCCTCTCATTCTTTTCTAATAAACCTTTGGTTTTAGATACAAAAGGATTGGCTGGCAGCGTGGTATTTTGGGTAAGATCCAACCTAATATTGAGCTGGTTATGGGGGTGGCCCTTTGGGGGATCAGAAGAACATTTTGTATAGTGACTAGAGTTTTAAATAGCTTCTCACGTTACTGGACCTATTTACTGTTTGGGAGCCAGAGACTGGAATTCAAAGGGAGCTGAGTGATTTCTTTTTTTTAAGCTTCCTGATAACCAGTGTGGGGTCAGGAGCACAGTTTTGGGAGAATCTGCTCTCCTTTTAGCAGCCTCCCCTGGCCTTGGCATTTTCAATGTGGGCTACCCTAGGCACCGTGGTTCACAGCTTAGTTTCAAAATTCAACCTTTTTTTTTAATAAGTACTGTTCAGTGTGAGTTGAAAAATCAGTTATTTGTACAATTCCTAAAGACAGGGAGGAGGAAATTTAACAAAGGTTACTGAGGTTAAGACTAACGTAATCTTAGTATATTTAGCCAATAATAATGCAATTACAGAAAAATACAGAGTGGGCAGCAGTGAATACATTAGCATTTCACTCTTATATACTTTGTTAAATTATTTCCATGCTGCTGTGCAGGAAACAGCAAGAAGATCAATGGCTGGGTCTTGTGCTACAATGTGTGACTTCTTTACATCAATATTTTTGTTTTTTCCTAGCATCAGTGTTTAACATGGGAATGATGGGGTAATACACAGAAATTCTTAAATGGCCAGACGGACTTTGAGCATGGATGATGCTTACTCACTTGTATACTGTGGGATTTTTGTTTTTAAAATAGGTGTTGTAGTGATTTGTCATTCGCAGTAGTATTCTACCAAATTCTCTAACACTTGCCTATTGAGTGACTAGAGGACACTGAGAGCTAAAGAAGTGTCACAAACAAAAATGACATACATGTACATATACACATTTTGCAGCAGCAGTTTTGTCTCATTGCAGTTTCCTTTCTTTGTTCCAAACTGAATCTTAAGGATCTTCATCTCTGTATTATAAAGGGGAGGGGAGGTGTCACCACTATTAACAGATGTTATGTATGGTGTTCTTTCTCCTGCCTGTAGGAAATAGCTTCCTCTGTGACCAACTCTATGAAGCAAACAGCAGGATGTGCTTTAGTATAGCAAGTGGTCCCCTCTCTCTCTCCCAGGAACAGTTCGTTACACTCCCACAATACAGTGAGCAATGCTTTTCCTCAGGAGTGAGAGGAGCAAGGTCACTATTGAACCAGCCTCTCATATGATGCAGAATACACCCAGGCTAGTAAGACTCGATCCACCATACCCTGTTCTTCATATTAGATGTGTGGGACCAAATTTTCTGCTGGAATAAATGAGCACAGCTCCATTGAACAGCACTCATTTATATCTGTAAAGAATTTGGCCTGTAACATTTAAATGATGCAAGAAAATATAGCTTGACTAACTCATTATCACAACCTTGAAGGGAAAGCATTAGGGCTGTTGATTAATCACAGTTAACTGATGTGATTAACTAAAAAAAATTAACTGATTAAAAAAATTGTGATGAATCGCACTGTTAAATAAATTTCAATTGGTGTTCTATTGTTTAATTTTTTGGAGGTTTTTCTACATTTTGAAATATATTGATTTCTATTACAACACAGAATACGCAGTGTTCAATGCTCACTTTATATCATTTATTACAAATATTTGCACTGTAAAAATGATAAACAAAATTATATTTCTCAATTCACCTCATACAAGTACTGTAGTGCAGTCTCTTTTTTGTGAAGTGTAAATTACACACGTAGATTTTTTTGTTTGTTACAGAACTGCACTCAGAAACCAAACAATGTAAAACATTAGAGCCCATAAGTCCACTTGTTCAGCCAGTTGCTAAGACAAACACGTTTGTTTACATTTACAGGAGATACGGCTGACTGCTTCTTATTTATGTCTCCTGAAAGTGAGACCAGGCATTCGCATGGCACTTTTGTAGCCGGCGTTGCAAGGTATTTACATGCCAGATATGCTGAACATCATGCATCAGCCACCATTCCAGAGGACATGATGCTCGTTAAAAAAACAATGTAGACTGAACTCCTTGGGGGGAGAATTGTATGTCTCCTGTTCTGTTAAAAATACATTCTGCCATATATTTCATGTTATAACAGCCTTGGATGATGACCCAGCTCATGTTTGTTTTAAGAACACTTTCACAGCAGATTTGACAAAACACAAAGAAGGTACCAATGTAAGATTTCTAAGGATAGATACAGCACTCGACCCAAGGTTTAAGAATCTGAAGTGCCTTCCAAAATCTGAGAGGGACAAGGTGTGGCGAATGCTTTCAGATGTATTAAAAGAGCAACACTCAGATTCAGAAACTACAGAACCTGAACCACCAAAAAAGAAAATCAACTTTCTGCTAGTGACCTCTAACTCAGATGATGAAAATGAACATGCGTCGGTCTGCTCTGCTTTGGATCGTTATCAAGCAGAACCAGTCATCAGCATGTCTGCTGGAATGAAGGTTGACGCATGAAGGGACATATGAATCTTTAGCACAGCTGGCACATAACTATCTTGCAATGCCGGCTACAACAATGCCAGGTGAACACCTGTTCTCACTTTCAGGTGGCATTGTAAACAAGACGTGGGCAGCATTATCTCCTGCAAATTGTAACCATTCTTGTTTGTCTGAGCAATTGGGTGAAGTAGGACTGAGTGGACTTGTAGGCTCTAAAGTTGTACATTGTTTTATTTTTGAATGCAGTTATGTACAAAATATAATTCTACATTTGTAAGTTCAACTTTCATTATAAAGAGATTGCACTACAGTACTTGTATTAGGTGAACTGAAAAATATTATTTCTTTTGTTTTACAATGCAAATATTTGTAATTAAAAATATAAAGTGAGCACTGTACACTTTGTATTCTGTGTTGTAATTGAAATCAGTATATTTGAAAATGTAGAAAACATCCAAAAATATTTGAATAAGTGGTATTCTATTACTGTTTAACAGTGCGATTAATGCAATTAATTTTTTTTAATCGCTTGACAGTCCTAAAAAGCATTTGTTTGTGCTTTCCAAATAATGATAATACTACTGGTTTTACTTGTATAGCATAGGTGTAATCATATTTTGTATAAAATCACAAAAGTACTGTGGATTGCTCCAGAATCCTGAATACAGATCTATTATTCACCTCTACAAGACAATGTGACAATCTGTTACATGTTACCACCTGTCACTTTTTACACTAACTTTCTTTCGTAGCCAATACTAATAATACTTCTATAGCACTTTACAACCATTAACTAATTCTTGCAACACTCCTTTGAAGTAGGTAAGTATTATTCCCATTTTACAGATGGAGAAATGGAGACAAATCAGTTAAATAACTTGCCTAAAGTCGCACAGAAAACATGGGGCAGAGCTGGTATTAGATATTGTGAGTTCCTAACTCCTAGGCCTCTAAAGTATGACTTCTTTAGACATGATATACAGTAGCTCAAGTAAAATATGGTTAATAAAAAAGCAAAACAAGAAAAATGGCACATTTACTCCATTACTAGAAAAGCTTCAGCTTTGTGAGATGGTAAGAGAATAAAATTGCATAGTCTTATAGTAAACTAAGATTTACAGCTGCTGTAGTCTTAGGATCCACTTTATAGTGGTCAAAACAACAAACAAACCCAAGAAGCAAGTTGCTATATACGAAGTGGGCATTCACCCCTGAAAGCTTATGCTCCAATACATCTGTTGGTGTTAAAGGTGCCACAGGACTCTCTGTTGCTCTTTACAGATCCAGACTAACGGGGCTACCCCTCTGATACTTATAAATACAGAGGTTCTTTCAGAAAAATAATAATCCAGAGACTCTATCAGAAACTGGTCACCTTGCAACAGGATCACAGTGCTAGAAATTCTGAAAAGTAAGTCTCCAGCTAAATCACTGTTCTCGAGTATAGTATTCCGTGCTGCAGAGCTTTCAAAGTTTTCTGTTTAGTATCCAGTTTCTGAGCAACTGGTCTCCAAAAAGTTGTTTCATTATATAACTAAGAAAAGAAAGGTACTGTTTGTCCTTTCCAGAGCAAAGCTGTGCTAGATATAATACTGCTAGAGCAAGCGCCTCACAAACCAATTCAGATTAAAAAAAAAATTATAACAGCCATGCTTAAACTACAATTATCAACCATGCTATTTGCGTTGTTTTTTTTACCACCACTATCATTTTCTTTCCCAGCCCTTACAGCAGATTCCATGACACATTAGGTCTAGTCCAGTGGTTCTCAAAACTTTTGTACTAGTGACCCCTTTCACATAGCAAGCCTCTGAGTGAGACGCCCCTTAAATATATAAAAATGTGGTTTTAATTTATAACACCATTATAAATGCTGGAGGCAACGCAGGGTTTGGGGTGGAGACTGACAGCTTGTGACCCCCCCCATATAATAACCTCCTGACCCTCAGTTTGAGAACCCCTGGTCTAGGCAGAAGGACCAGTAAGCAGCCTGTTTGATTGACTGAACATTAAGTGTTATGAAGAGATGTATGTAATGGAGAGGAGGTTACTTAACTATAATCAGCCTCTCATCTGTAATAAGGTGAGCCAGTCTCCTCAGTTTTTGGTTACAGTAAGCTATCATTTGAATGGTAGTCATATGAAGTGGTGTAGCCTTAACTACCTTAACAGTTGTGAAGTAGACTTCTCCAGCGTACTGATAGGCTACAAGGGTCTGTTCTTCCTGGTTCCGGGCCAGTCGGACAAACATCATCCAGTTACCACAGTCTTCATTGGGAGCATCCAGAAAGTACTTTCCGCCGTCTTTCAATACCTGAAGAAAAGGGAGAGAGGTTATGGGAGAAGGGATGAGTTACAACAGAGCTGTGGAAAGGAACACACTAAGCTTTTTTTATTGAATTTGAGTCGGGGACAATGCTTTTTATATATTTTTTTCATACAAAGATTTTTTTTAAAACAAAATAAGTGACACTTAAATGAGCCAACTGAAAAAAAAATTAAGACTCTACAATTT